CATCATCATCATCATCATCATCATCATCATCATCATCATCGACATTATGGTAGACCTATCATGACGTTTTCGACAATACTAATGACATTAATCTTAACGAAGATAAAAGAAAAAGGTATGTAGTTGACTTCTTGACAATTTAACTCTTATGCCCCATCAGTGTGTAAAGAAAATTAATAAGCAAAAGGATTGGCATGCATTTTCGCCATCTCTTACCGGCATGGCTTGTTAATCACCAGGCTGATATTTTCTTATTTCTCAAAGACAAAGTGGAATGAAAAATATACTGTTGTGTTCGTGAAAAGAACTGTTTGCCTTATGTATTTGTAAGCACTATATCTAAAGAAGTAGACCCATGTACGTCAAAAATGAACTTATCTACCACTAGCTATACTGGTCCATGATGGGGCTGAATACTAAAGCATATACAGTTAGTCCATATACGTGGTTCCAAATGCACCAAATACGGAAATTTTGAAAACATGGTTAGCTTAGATGTAATTAATAAGAACTTACCCACCAGTCTTGAAGAAGACTGGTATTAATGAAGAAAAAATTATTAAACTTCTAGTAATTACGTCAGAGCTACTAATAAGCACGTGGGAGAAAACATCAAGAAAATCGACAATAAATCTCTTAATGAATGCTGGGGTTAACTTAGAAGAACAACTTAATGACCTCGAAAGATCATTAGTGTTGAAGTAAAAGATAAAACCGGAAGTTGTGCGGCGTTTTACCTTTCTTTGACCTTGGAAAGTATTTTGGGTTATTTTCGGTGCCACTAGTTCGGGGGCGAGGCCTGCCTCAGAACCTGACCTTTCACCGCAAAACCGCTTGTTGACTGACACTGCGCGTGCGCGAGAAAAGTTCGCTATTAATTATGAGGAATTGGGAATTACGCAATCGCCAATCATGATCAATCAGATCGAAACTGACCAATCATGACCTATCATTGCTCAACCGCTGCAGAAATTTGAATTTTGCCACAGTTTGAAAATGGCTCTCGTGTGCAGTGTGTGTTGCGTGATGGACTGCCGTATTATCATTCGTGCTAAGCAAAAGTGCTAAAGACAAAAACGTCGACCCAACCCGCACTTCCCCTACCTGGGCCCTACAGTGACCTTTGAGGTAAGGAAAAGAATTCATAGTTTAGATATAACGGGAAACGGTTACTTTTACTGTGACGGCACCCGGTCGCCCATTGTTCTCGACTAATCTCGTAATAAAAAGCTCCTCTTTCTAGAAGATATGCAGCAGAATAGGTTATTTTCTACCTCTGTTTCGTGTGATTCAGACGATTGCCCTTGAAGGACGCTCATTTATTCACGAAGGCCTAATTCAGTCGGGGAGAAAAGTTTTAGATATTTAAGACGCTAGGAAGTTGGAAATATGTTAGGGACGTCGGGACTCTAGTAAAGATACTTGTTTTGTTTAGATAATATTTCATAATATATCGTATAAATTGCGATATGTATTTACAAAATCGTCTTTTGAATAAAACTGCTGTTCTTGATTAGGTAAGGACACTTATTCGTGAAGGGGTGTTGCGGGAGGGGGAAGGGTAGTATGAACATTATACGCCTAGTTTGGGCAGGAGGAAAGGTCGGCTCTGAATGTTTTACATGGCTCTCGTATTGAGTAATGCGTTAATATTCCCTTTCATTCGAATTAGGGAATTGTCCGAGGATCACCATATTAAGCTTGGTTGCAAAGTGATAAAAGTGATTTCAAGATGACATAATATTCTTATACAAAGGCGACTAACGCCTTGCTAATGAATGTGTGATTGTAACCCAAAGGGTATAACTCGTAGAGTGTTATGTTTGCATATACGCCTCCAGCTATCTCAAGCGCTAATGTCCTTTCAATGTGTAGAACGGAAGAACTATGAAGTCTTGCAGCGGATAAAATAATTTGCAATGGCAGTCTGCTGATATGAATTGTTGCGGTGAATACCTGGGCATGCATCTTAGGGCTTGCTGGTGCAGGATCAATATGGCAGAACACGCAACAGCCTGCAGTGTGGCACACTTTGAGCAAGTTGTACTGGAATCATGCAGTGTTGTTCTGGGATGGCCCATTGTATTTATTTTAGCTGGAGTTTGATTATTCCGTAAACTAAATAATTAAGTTATTATCGTACAGTAATCACATTAAGTAACTGTGTACAGTAGTGAATACCTTGTACACCTTGCCTATTGCTACTGTGTGGCGGGGAGGAACCGGGTGATGCAAGGGCAGTGGCAATATGGTTGCAAGTTTCATTGTTCGTTGACCCATTTTGTTTGCTGTCCGTTCTTGGAGGGAAGCCACCGAAGATATTTAACGCTTTGCTTAATCTCTTGGACAAGTGGTGCATTAGCTTATTTGCAGCGTTAAGATATGTGAAGTGTTATCTCTAAAAAATAGCATGGCTGCAGCATGTAATGCTGTCTTGTAATGCGTTGCCTTTCCCCTCTGATAAAATCATGAGTGATATATCACCGTTATCGACCTCGCT